ATTCTAAACCATGTAAAAAAAATCCAGTTAAACAAAATACTTTATGGCTCCATTTTTTTCCTCAATAATGTGGAAGTCATTGAGAACCAAGGCTGTTTGGTTTACTCATTCTTTGCAATATATTCTTTTATTATAGTAGAAAAAATACATTTATTCAGGTTTTTAAAAATTTGACAATTTTTCTTTTTTGGATGAATTATTCCTTTGTAATGCATTACTATAGTTCAGCAAATGCTTTTGAACTATTGAAGAAGTTTTATTAAATTCTGCACATGCTTATGTTTGTCTGATGTTTGTGCAGATGTTTTGTTGGAATCAACCCACACACCGGCACCAAGACAGGCACATCAAAGGTTGGAGCAAAAAAAAGTGGGAAGGTATCCGAGAAGAGGAACAACACAGTCAATCCTCATGTGTGTTCTCTTCTCAGAAGGCTAATGGACTTTGAGTGGTTAAGCATGTACTGTAAGTTTACAAATATATCAAAACTATACCTACAGGATAAGCCATCTATAAAATGACACTTGCTTTCAGACTTGTTCTTTGGTCATGTTAAAAAAAAAACCTGGTCAACTTACAAAATATGTTAAAGAATGTTAAATGTTTAAAAAATGGCTAAATGTTTGTTAGAGTATTCTAAGTTTAATGAATCAGCACAGTCAGTAGCATTTGTGACAGATTTAAACATTTATTTCTTTTAAGCAGAAATACTGTATGACTTACTGTGAGTTTTAGCTGAAGTCAGATTCGTTTTGGTACCAATATGCCATTCTGTTGTTTTGAGCTTAAAGGGATTGCCATCATTTACTCACCTTCAGTTGTTCCAAAATTCTGAGTTTTTTTCTTGTTTTAAGATATTTTAAAATGTTGGTAACCAGACAGTTGACAGTAGCCATTGACTTCCATATTTTTGCCCTATTATGGAAGTCAATGGCTACGTTACTTGTCTGGTTATAGACTTCATTAAAATATAATCTTTTGTATTCAACACAAGAAAGAAACTCATAGTTTTGGAACAACTTAAGGGAGAGTAAATAATGACCATTTTTATTTTTAGGCAAACAGTCCCTTTAACTTTTATTTAACTATTGCTTAATGCTTTAATCTTGAGTTGTTTGTAGTTGTTTTATAAGTTTTTCTGTAGTTGAAAAAGTAAAATTATGTTACCAGTGACAGTGCTGAAGTGTTGTCAGGTATCAGCTTTAATAAACAGCTTTCTTACAACAGCTTTGAATTTGAGTGATTATTTTTAAAAATCTTTGTTTTAATGCATTCACATCAGTATAATGGTAAAGAGCACAGTTAAAATAGTTATTTACAGGAATTTCATAGTAAAAATGTTACAGCTACATCTTGGCTTTTGTTGAATTCACAGGATTTTATTGGCAACTTTTGTTGACTGGACAACTATGGCCCTTGATGTCATGGTTGACAACTCTAGCTTGACTGGTTCTTTAGTGGTATCTAGAGATGTCACAACTTCACTGAGAACAAAGGTTGCATCACTTTGAGAGTCCAATAAGGCATATGTAAGGATTTCTTGTGTGGGTTGTTTTGAAGACAAAAGCCAAACAGGAATTATTGCTGCACTGTACATGTTACCTTCTTGACGTATGACTCTGTTTGTTGTAGCTGTGATTTTTCCTTCTTGTGTTAGAGGATGGGAATTTTGGTTTGGTCTTTCTTTATTTGCGGTTTTCTGGTCTTGTAATGGGTTTTGTGCTTCTTTGCCACGCTCTTCGTGTAGGCAGGTAGGATGTCTTTTATTGCACCTTTCACAGACACTTCTGTTGTCACAGCCTTTTGAGAGATGGCCTGGCTTGAGACAGCCAAAGCATAGCCTTTCTGACTGTACAAACTTGACTCTGTCCGTCACAGTCTTTTCCAGGAAGCTCCTGCATTTCTGTAGAGTGTGTTTGGGCTTTTTGCAGAACATACATGTCAAAGCTGTCTTCTCTTCAGAAAGTGTAGTCAGGGTTTTAGCTCCTATGTTCCTTTGTCTTGTAGGTTTCAGCCTTTCGAAGTCATCAGATTCACTTTGCTTCAGTGATTGCAGCGATGTAACAGGGTTACAAGCAATCTTTGCTTCTCTGGTTAAAAATGAAACAAACTGACTGAAAGTAGGAAAGTTGTTGGTTTCTTCTTCGATTTCAATGACTTTACGATTCCAGCTAGCTGTGAGCCAATCTGGTAGCTTGTAAAGAATTTTTCTGTTCTCATTACAGTCATTTAATATCTCTAAAGACTTGATGTGGGCCATGGCTGCTTCACAACTACACAGGAAATCTGCAAAGTTTCTTAGCTCACATTTTGTTCCTCTTTTACACTCATTAAGTCAAACACTTGCATTCTGGCTTGAGCTGCACGTAGATCTTTTACTTAGTCCAAGTGCTGCAACCTTCTTTTCCTCTCCTCAATAGATCTTTGCATAGCTGCACATTCTTCCTCTTGTTTAGCTTTGACTTTAGCTTCATCCTCTTCTCTTAACGTTCTCAACTTGAGTTCCTCTGCTTCTCTTTCTAAACGAAGTTTTTTGGCAAAGGCCTCTTGCTCTGCCACCTTCCTTCTAAATTCAGCTTCAAGTCTTTCAATTTCTATCTGTTCAATTTCTTGTTGTTCTAACACTTTTAGAACAGCTTGGCTTGCAGCTGCTTCTGCCACAGCTTCTTGGTGTTTTACAGAGGATTTACTGGAATGTTCGGAGGTACGTGACTTACTGACAGTTGACACAAAAAGGGAGCTTACATCTGGCCAATCCATCCTCTCAGCACTGCTGTCCCCAAGAGGGCAAGAGGCACCATTAATCAGGGGATGTTCAGATGATCCCGGATCAGGCAGATTTTCATCTCTTTGCCGATTCTCTGGTTCCTACATCCTCTCAGCACTGCTGTCCCCAAGAGGGCAAGAGGCACCATTATTCAGGGGATGTTCAGATGATCCCGGATCAGGCAGATTTTCATCTCTTTGTCGATTCTGCATCAAAATTGCAGCCCCCACTGCGGCTGCCACAGTCACCACGACCCCCACGATCACCCCAATCACCAGCTGGTTTCCTCCTGAAGACACCCCTGCAGAAAGCAGAGGGATCAGTAAGTGTCCAGACATATTTTCACACAGACACTCGATCCTCAGTCAGTGTAAAATCTCACTGAAGCAGCCAGTAGAGCCGACAGAAAGCTGCTCTGGGTTGGGCTGTCTGACCCCTTTCTGCAGCTGTTACGGACCCCCCTCAGGGACACAACAGCATGGTGGAGGTGACTCATAAAGGTAGAAGTGTGTGATTTCCTGCTGCATTTGGCCTCAGGAACAGCAGGAACTCTTAAGGGTCCAGCAGAAGTCAGCCAGCATACTGGGACTCCACTTGCCTTGATATCGTTCTTCCTTATCAGAGAGCGAGCAGGATTCTGTCTCAATGCATCCAAACATGTTACAGCCTGTAAACTCTGGCAAACAGACTTACCGTGCTTTGTGCTCTTCTGTATAGTACTAAAACTGTTAAAGTCATTTTTCCTAAATTCCTCTTAAACCCAAGGGTCTTCCAGTTCAAGCAGGCCAGCGAATGGCAACATAAAACATTCGCTCTCCCGACGAGATTTGAAATAAGACCCCAAAATAATCTAAATAAGCGTTACTATTTCAAAGTTTAAACTAAGTACCAAGGGGCGATGGAAAGGCGAAACAGAAGAGGAAACCACCATGGCTAGTCTGCTAGAAGCTAACGTGACCGCCAAAGAAGCGGACTCCGTTCACACACAGAAAGCTAGCCTCGAAAATATTTTGAGCGAAATTAGAGAATTCAGACAAGACAACCAGAAACAACTGAATGACATAAAGGCTGAAATAAATAAGTCAAACAGACTGGAGGAGGCAGAAGGACACGTTCAAGAGGCAGAAACGTGGATTGAGAACATGGAGGCCATTGTCACAGAGTTAATACAGCTATAGGAGCAACTTAGCTGCAGAATAAATGACCATTAACGAGAGAATCGCTCCAGGCGACAAAATATCAGAATTCAGATTCCTGAAGGCTCGGAAAACAACACAACAATGATGACATTTCTGGAGAAACTATTAAACACACAGCTCGAACTCAACTCTTCAGCAAATAGAACGAGCATACCGAGCCTTGGTACCGAAACCTACTGACAGCCAAAGACCCAGATCAATAGTAAGTAAGTTTATGAGCTACAAAAGAAAGGAAAAAATTTTGAGGTTGACATGGGCGAAAAGAGGGCCTAACTGGCAAGTGAAGAAAATCAAGATTGATCACGATTATGCGCCGGACACAGTAAGGGAACGGAAAAAGTACATGGAGGCAAAGAAAGTACTGAAAGCTAATGGAATTACCTTCAGCTCTCTCTTCCCAGCATGACTCAGAGTGAACTACAGCGAAGGATAGAAGATATACAATTCCGCAGAGGAAGTGACGAAAGATATGGATGCAAGGAATCTGCCAGTTACTGTCATCAACTCGCCCGGATCACTGACAGAGCAAGTACAGCGCTTGAACTGGGAGAAGGTAAACAGAAAGACTGGACGCGGAAGACAGCAAGTGGGAGCAATGTACAAGAAAAAACTACAATCGTTCAGAAGATCAGCTCCAACAGACGAGCCATGACTGGAATAAACGGTTGTGAATAATTTATAGGAGAATTAATATACTTATCAGGGTCAGTTCTCTGTTTTTGACCAGAATATGAGAAAATCCCCGAATTCCCTTTATAATATCTAGGTTAAAATGTCGGGAAATGGACATATGGTCTGATTTCGTAAGCAATGTTGCTTTTGGAGGGACCCCCAGACTAGATTATTTTTTTATTTTGAATAAAGACAGACACAGAATAGTTGACTGCAGTATCGATTACGAAGTCGACTCTTAGATAGGGATAACCCATGGATTGGCTTACCTCTAAAAATATGGGATAGGGTTGTTAATAAATATAATTTAAACAGTCCCGTAAAGACTCTGAAATGGTGCTCCTTTGATACAGAGTTTATTCCTAATATTTTAGATAACAGATATAAATTATAGGCTAAAAAAGGTATTTCTGCATACAGGGTAATTATGACCAACGGCGAACTAAAAGATTTTCAAACAATAAAAGAAAGATATGGACTACAACAAAGAGACTTCTATAGATATTTACAAATGCGACATTATTTTTTATCAGGAAATAAAGGAGACAGATATAACAGAAACTTATACAAATGGTATTTAGGGCCCTTCTCATTCACACAGCTGTGCAAAAATTGTGTCAAAATTCTATAATGCCTTTTTGGCCTGCAAAACAGTCTTCACAATATATCAAAGAAAAAAAATGGGAACAGGAGAGTAATCTACATACTGTATATACATACTGTATATATGTGTATATATAAAATATGGAGGCAAATATGGAGGTATCTCCCTGTTAACCTTTGTCCGATTATTCTTTAATGGTTAATGGTCTAATATAAATGGAAGAATTTATGGGTGAATATATGTGATCTTACAATGCTGAATTTATGTACATAATACCCTTCCAATAAAAACTATAAAATAAAATAAATATAAAAAAGGAAATTATACTATCAGTATAGCCTAAAAATTACATCACTGAAAAACTATGGGTGAGAGCAAAATTCAGAGCCCATTTCTTATGTCAGCATTAAATAGTACATAACAGACACCCCTTAGCTGTTCTGTGAAAAAATCTTTGTTGACCCGTGTTATGCTAATTACCTGCATTCTAAAGTCTTTATAACATAATTAGCTGTTTGTCAAAAGCCTAATGTGATGTGAAAAAGTTATTTCTGTGATCAGCATCACCAAAAATTATCAAGGAAACAAAAAAACTTGTAAATATCACTAAGCATTAGTATATAAATAAACATTAAGAATCCACCATTAGAGCTAGGTAGGTACTGTAGGTAGGTGTGTAAAACTTTAATGTCATGTTAGTGTCTGCCTCATGGCAAGAGGTTTACTTAATAACTATTCACACAAAGATGGGAAGCAGATAAATTGGATACAGATAGCAGCTTATACACTGAGGCAGAAACATGTTTATCACACAGGGTATAAACTCACCTGGAGGGTTTTCATCAGAATCCTGTTTGTCTTTGGTTTCTGACCCTGGTATAAAGAAGCAAATCAGCTGATTTTGTACAAACTGTGGTGACAACTTACTCCCATAACAATGATTACCAAGCAGTAGCATGTAAATATCTACCATGACATCAGATTAACGTAGGAATCACACTGGAGCAGAAGCATGTTTATCACACAGGGTATAAACTCACCTGGAGGATCTTCTCTCTCTCTGTATGGCCTGCAAGCAGGATCTGATCCGGGAGGGAAAAGAGAAACTAATCAGCAGATCCTGTGCGAATTCTGATGCCTGTTTGTGCCAAACCCTGTCACATAGCCATGACCTCTGAACACTAACCATGCATTTGCATGCTGCTCACACACTTACTTTAGGGAGCCTGTAACATCCTATCAAATTCATTTCACTTAATAAATACACATGCTATGCCATTAGCACCTACTCTATCACATTTAATTTAAAATTGTAATCTACGTAAACCTGCACTAACCTCCAGGGGGCATCTCTGCATCCTTTCGTTTCCGGCCCCCTGCAGACATTGAGGGACAGAAGCAGCAGAGTCAGTGTGAGGCTGTAACTCAGAGCTGCAGCAGTGAGTGTGAGATGCAGGTTAGCAGCAGAGAGCTGGGGGCCGGGGGATAAAGGCGGCCTGCAGAGAGTCCCTACTGCTCTCAGCTTCTGGGTCACGGTTCTGTTCATGCGGGTCGGGGGGGTTTAAGGGGGAAGGGGAACCATCAGAAGGGTCACTTACCTTTCACATTAAGGCGAATGCTTCGTATTTCATTATAGTTGATCCGGCATGTATAATCCCCTTGATCCTCTTTTCTGACAGGATTAATGATCAAAGACACGTTGTTCTGTTGGATGGATCCAAGCCGAGTTCGATTCACGTAATGATGAGATTCACACCAACTTCCATTTTTAAATGAAGAGACATGCCTGCCATTACACATCCACGTAAGAGCTTCCTTGGTGTCTATAGCTGTTGGTTCATCACAGGGCAGCGTGACAGATTCACCAATACTTGCACTGATATCTGATTAATACACAAAATAAGTAATTAAAAGATTACTTTCCAGCTCTCCACACTGCCTGATCCATCCATTGTACCATGTGACTACTTATCACATACCACAGCTTAACTTCAGCTTAAACAACATACAGCAGGTAGAGTAAACAAGCAGCTGACAGATAGTCACGGCCAAAAGTTTTGAGAATGACACAAGTATTGGTTTACACAAAGTTTGCTGCTTCAGTGTTTGTAGATCTTTGTAGTGCAGTTGTAATTGAAAGATTGCTGGTTCGAATCCCCAACCAGTAAGGTACCACTGAGGTACCCTGAGTAAGGTACCGGCCCCGAGCACTGCTCCCTGGGCGCTGAATTACCTGCCCCCTGCTATGTCACGATGTCACGTATGGGTTACACACACACATTTGGGGACACATTTGGTGTTTCAACAATGATCACTGATATCTGTCACGTCAGATGTTTCTATGGTATACTGAAGTTCAATTACAAGCATTTCATAAGTGTCAAAGGCTTTTACTGACAATTACATTAAGTTTATGCAAAGAGTCAATATTTGCAGTGTTGGCCCTTCTTTTTCAAGACCTCTGCAATTCACCCTGGCATGCTGTCAATCAACTTCTGGGCCAAATCCTGACTGATGGCAGCTCATTCTTGCATAATCAATGCTTGGAGTTTGTCAGAACTTGTGGGTTTGTTCGCCCGCCTCTCGAGGATTGACCACAAGTTCTCAATGGGATTAAGGTCTGTGGAGTTTCCTGGCCATGGACCCAAAATGTTGATGTTTTATTCCCCGAGCCACTTAGTTATCACTTTCTCCTTATGGCATGGTGCTCCATCATGTTGGAAAAGGCATTGCTCATCACCAAACAGTTCTTGGATGGTTCTGAGAAGTTGTTCTCGGAGGATGTTTTGGTACCATTCTTTATTCATGGCTGTGTTCTTAGGCAAAATTGTGAGTGAGCCCACTCCCTTGGCTCAGAATGATTTACTGTTGACATGAAACAGGACTGATGGTATCACTCACCTTTCCTTCTCCAGACAATCTTTTTTCTGGATGCCCCAAACAATCGGAAAGGGGATTCATCAGAGAAAATTACTTTCCACCAATCCTCAGCAGTCTAATCCCTGTACCTTTTGCAGAATATCAGTCTGTCCCTGATGTTTTTATTGCAGAGAAGTGGCTTCTTTGCTGCCCTTCTTGACACCAGGCCATCCTCCAAAAGTCTTCACCCAACTGTGCGTGCAGATGCACTCACACCTGCCTACTGCCATTCCTAAGTAAGCTCTGCACTGGTGGTGCCCCAATCCCACAAGTGAATCAACTTTTCTTGGGCGCCCTGAAGCCTTCTTCACAACAATTGAACCTCTCTCCTTGAAGTTCTTGATGATCCAATAAGTGGTTGATTTAGGTGCAATCTTACTAGCAGCAATATCCTTGCCTGTGAAGCCATTTTTCTGCAAAGAAAATGACTACTGCACATGTTTCCTTGCAGGTAACCATGGTTAACAGAGGAAGAACAATGATTTCAAGCATCACCCTCCTTGTAAAGCATCCAGTTTGCTATTCTAACTCAATCTGCATGACAGAATGATGCAACCTTGTCCTCGTCAACACTCTCACCTGTGTTAACAAAAGAATCACTGAAGCGATGTCAGCAGGTCCTTTTGTGGCAAATCTGTGATTTGTTTTTTGGACTACAAAGTAAAACAAGTCAGAGAACATCCTCCAAGAGTAGTGATTCCATATTTTTGCCAGGGGTTGTATATGCAAATTTCAATCATAAAAAATGATGCAGACTTTGTAAAAATTAATATTTGTGTCATTCTCAAAACTTCTGGCCATGGCTGTACAGTCCTTACAGACACAGACAGTGAGAGACCCAACTCCCCTGTCTGACAGGAGAGTGTTACAGCAGACACCCCCATCAGACACTCACATCACTGTGTAATTAACAAAGCAGAGAAGCACTGATATATACAGCTAATTACACACAGGATCAGTGTGAGGCTGTTACTCACATGAGTCCACCCCTAAGACAGCAGGGAGACAGAGTCCAAGGCAGAGGAGCAGCAGAAGCCTGAACATCATCCTGCAGTTCGAGAAGATCGCCTGTTAGTGACCTCTGATCTACAGTATCCATCATACAAGTTAACCCTCACAAATGCGATGAAATAAAATGGGAGGACAACAAAATGACAAACATAATAAGTTTACAAACTATTCTGCCTGTCAAGCTCACTTGGAGATAATTCACCTAATAGCTTAAAGTTCTTAAAATCTTATTTAGCTCCGATTTAAAGTAATCCAGGATTTTAGCTTGCACTACACTAACAGGAAGACTATTCCATACTCTAACCACACGCTGTGTAAAGACGTGCCTTTCTGAAATCCAGTTTAAGGGCGTGTGTTAAGTAGCGAACGAGCATGCGCAGCTAACTCGGGTAGGACATTTTTATGCATAGGAAAGAATTTCAGAACACTGGCTCTCGCGGCAGATCCAAAAAAGTGAACTGCTGATCAATAAATTTTGCTCAAAATACGCCTAAATACAATAAACTAACTAAGAAATATAATTATCATAGTTTGAAGAATAATTCTGCTTACCTTTATTGTCCCAACGAAGGTTTTAATGAGTGAAATTTTCGGTAAGATCGGGAGGAAATTTCGAAGTTATCAGAAAGTCAGATGACCGTGTTTTGAATGGAAATCCCCAGATGAAGGTGTGTTTTACGTTATCAGAACGGGTTACCCTAATAGACACAAAAATAACACAACAAAAAGGCAAAAACTATTGGGATACCCTGGTGCTCTGGGGAATGGCGACCAAATTGAAAACGAGGCTGCCTGCCAAAGCCCCTATGGCGCAGAACTGGTGATAGTGACATACCTACTCTATGCAAAGACTACATTTTATCCCAAGACACATTATATTGGAACACGCATAAATATATTATCCTTTAATCTGTTACCATTTCTGAAAATATCAGTTTTCTGAAGAATCATGGGTTATAAGAGTTTTATATTTTTTCTTTTACAAGTATGTGCTGCTTTGTGTAACATTATTAAATTTCCTCTGTTTTCATGTGCTGTGTAACTAATGAAGCTAGTGGGGACTAGGGTTGGGTACCGAAACCCGGTGCCAATACGGCACCGGTACCTATATAACCGGTATGTACCGGACCGAAACAAAACGCGAATTTCGGTGCCTCATTCCGGTGCCACTTAGATGCCTGAACTGTCGATTGAAATATTTGTTCTCTGGGGCTATGATGACACAGTTGTAATAAGCATCAGATTCATCAACACACACGTGACATCATCAGGAAATGAGACCATCCGAGATGCGCGTGAATGCAGCAACTAACGTTACACTTGCTCTGACGGCAGCAGGTGGTCTACCGCTATCTTAGCCTGCTAAATTAAACAACTTTCGTTAAAATGCCAAAAACTAAACGGTCAAAAGTGTGCCTATATTTCACAAGAAAGGATTCCGACACCGCGACGTGCAGCAAATGTTTTACAGCAGTTGCGTGTAAAGGGGGAAACACGTCAAATCTAATGAAACATTTGAGGGCACACGGAATAAACTTAAAAGCAGAGGGATGCACCATGTTTGACAGCTTGCGGACAACAGTTGGCACTATTGGTGTGGACGCGGTTTAGTAATTGTAGTGGCTTATGTTTTGTTGTTGTTTTTTGTATTTACTTATATATTCATATATACTTTAAAACTTTTAATATATTGTTCAATTTTAAGCATTCAATTTTTTTGTTCAATAAAAATGTATTCTTGAGTCATCCACCATCATTTTGTAGCTTTTGTAAAGTATCAGTTCAGGCACCGTTTTGGCACCGGTACCATTTTAAAAGTATCGATTTGGCACCGGTATCGAAAAAACCCCAAACGATACCCAACCCTAGTGGGGACATTGTGATTGGACAAAAAAAAAACATTATTCCAGTTAATTAAATAACAACTTAATTAGTAAAATCTGTGCGATCCATTTATTGCTGTTCTTTTCTAAGGATATTTTATATATTTATTTATTTATATGCAGTGTATTCTATAATCTACACCAGGGGCCTGTACTACGAAGCGGGGTTACTGGCTTATCGGGGTAACTTGTCGGATTTAAGGTAGTCTTGGCAAAATGTAAGTGAGCGAATACGAAGTCCATTTAAACTGTGGTACCTTAAATCCGACAAGTTACCCCGATAAAACAGTAACCCCGCTTCATAATACAGGCCGCAGGGCTCTTCAAATCTGGACCTTGATTCCAAATCCAATTCCAAGGCCTTGTTTTCAGTTCTCCTAGGTAGTTTAATAATTACTGATTCTGATTGGTCAGAGGCTTCACATCTGTAAAGGAATGTGGCTCACAGGTAAAGGAAGGCTGGAAAACCAGCAGTGCTTGGACCTCGAGGACCGTGATTTGAATAATAGGGCTCTACACAGTGGTCATCTTATATGAAATATTCATATTCCTAAATGTTTTAAATATGAAATGGACCTGCTGGTCTAATGAGTAAGAATGGGTTAGGATACTCAGAGATACATTCACTAAAGGGAAGAACATGGACATTTAAAGATTAACTATGACAATATGAAAGATAACTATATCTATATTTCTGTATCTTTAATAATGTCCTGCCACCCTAATCATGGAGGGGAGCAGATATTTATGGAGTGTTTATGTCTATAATAATGTCCTACCACCCTAAACAGAGAGGGGAGCAGATATTTATGGAGTGTTTACATCTATAATAATGTCCTACCATGCTTAACATAGAAGGGAGCAGATATTTATAAAGTGTTTACATCTATAATAATGTCGTACCATGCTTAACATAGAGGGGAGCAGATATTTATGGAGTGTTTACATCTATAATAATGTTCTACCACCCTTAACAGAAAGGGGAGCAGATATTTATGCTGGCAGGATATTATCACAAGGTAGGACAAAATAACAGATATGATTATAAATTTCCGCTACAGGTAGGAAAATATTTTAGGTAGGAAAAAATTTCAGAACACCGGCCGTGTTTTGTGGTGAACAGTGCAGCAAGAGCCGAAATTAGCATGATTTTCAGCATGGAATTTACAGCTTTAAAATGATGTGAATGTCACGTTCGTGGACGAGCGGTGCAGGTAAGCAGGAGAGAGCAGCCAGGTAGTCAGGGAAACGGGGTTTATTTAGGGAGGGACGAACAGGCACGGACATCAACGGACACTACAATGACAAGTCTGGGGAAGACTGACTCAGACGAGGACTAAATACAAAAGATCAGCTAGACTTAATAGGACACAGGCGATCACAATCAGGGCTGAACACGAGGTAACGAGGTGGGCGTGGCACACATTAGGATCGAACAGAGCAGGGTGTGACAGTGAAGGCTTTTAAATGAGGTTATATGTGTTTATGAATATATATTCTTGTAATAAAATGGAGTAGATACCCATCGCAGAGTTATGCTCATTTTTCTGAACACCATAAACAGGTCACAAAGTGAAGTATGGTTCTCTATTGTTTTATCTGTTAATAAGTGGACGTTAATAAGCCTTAATTGGCGTTACAAAATATCCTATAACTTTCTTGCCATTCATCACAGAAAGAAGTTATTGGTATCATTGGAAAGGTCTTATCAAGCCCTTTCTTCTGGTGCTATTTTTGTAAAAATCCAACAACTTTGAAATTTTTTTGTGACATACCTACATAGAGAAGTCACGACATGACTTTCAGCACTAAAAAATTAAGTAAATTCCGTTTTTATCGATTGATACATTTTGTTTTCATTACGTTTCACATATAATGTATCTATAGCCAGGGCAGTATTAGATTGTTAATGCAAACATTATGCTCGGATCATTAGAAATACTGTTCACTTTTTCGTGAGTAAAAACGTGTACATGAAATAGAAATCTTATTTATTTATTTTTATTAACAGATAATAAGAATGCGATTT